TTGGAAGGTTTACACTTCGAACAGAAGGCAAGTATACATGCATTGAAATACATTAGGTTTCCGATTTTTTTATGAATAAAGAATAGTGTGCTATGCATCAAAATGAACCAAGTCAGCTACTGCTGTCCTTTTGTTTATTGTTGCATATATTCCATTTGCTTCCATTTCTTAAGGAATGTGTCCACTACCATGTACTCCCTCCAGTAAAAAAAAAAAGAGGTTTAGGTTTGCGTGTAGTCAGACTTATGTTTTGACTGCAAATATCCCTATAAATGTTTTGGTGAAGTCCCTTTTTGTCTCTGCTAACTCTGCTTGAAGTCCATGTTTCCTGGAAATGAAAACCAATTAATTTTCACCCACAACTTCCTAATCTGGAAAAGCACCCCCTACCCATTTCAATGGTCTGTTTTTGTTCCCATGGTTCTTTCCACTGATGTGGAATGCAATTAGACATGTTTCAATGTTGTGTGTGGCTTTTAGCTCAACAAAACTTGTTGACAGCAGTCCAGTCAGCAAAATATCGGAGCACTCTGAACCTGAACCACTTTGGATTTTGGAAGTATTTACATTAGATTTTTGAAAATGTTGTTAACTTGACTTGAAAAAAGTGCTTTCATCATAATGTATTATGTTAACTATCGGTAAAAGTTGCATTTTGGAAACTATGTTCAAAATGTCGCTGACTGGCTCTGTTGTTATTTTTCTTAGTACTCCCTCCGTTTCATATTATAAGACTTTCTAGCATTGTCCACATTCATATATGTATAGAATCATTAACATATATATGAATGTGGACAATGCTAGAAAGTCTTATTCATATATATATTAATGAATCTATACATATGTATATGTCTAGATTTATTAATATCTATATGAATGTGGGCAATGCTAGAAAGTCTTATAATATGAAATGGAGGAAGTAATTTGTTTTCTATTTCTAGTAATTAGACTTATCAAATCATATGCTGACCATTGATTACTGATCATTTCAGGTAAGACGGTGGCTGTAGGGAAGGTTGTTGCTATTCCACCAGCTGGCAGCCCAACATTTTCAGCTTAAGTCAATTTTGAACAGGATGGTGAGTAGTTTTCTAATCCTGAGTTGTTTGCAAAATGGAAAGTACATACTTTTTAACTGTCTTTCATGACAGGATGTCTCTTGAGAGCTTCTGGAAGCAATGACATTGCTTGAGCATACATTTTTTCCGGCCCGGCTTGAAAATCATCAATCATTTAGGCATAGCTGTTATTATTAAGATGGGTTGCATAATTTATAGCTCTTGTTACATGTTTGTGAGGTTGTAAAATCAGTATGGGTATATCCCTGCCCTAACCTTCCAATTTGAATACCAGTGTTGCAAAGGTTTTTCGTGTGCACAATCCTTTGCCCCTCCCGGGCATCCGAACAAACAAAATTTTGATATGCCCACCTGAACCATTTTGGTTCTTGTATGTTTTCGAGGTGCCACCTGGTGGTATTTTATTATACGCAGCACTGTTTATCACTAATTTGTATGAACATGGTTGTCAACTGGAAGCACATAGGTAGTGACTGGTGACTGTCAAATCTTTTCTCGAAACGGTATAGGTTTTGACATTAGTCCTTGGAGCCGATCTAATATATTTTACCTTTCTTTTTTTTTTAATTACACCGAGCTTGGCACTAGTAGCTTGCCAAACAATTAACATTTATCCTAAAATATAATAAATTATCCACCTACATTCCTTTCTCATATAATAGTTATCTATAAACATATACTATGCTATTAATATCTGGTCTCATCAGTCATACATGCATTGTAGCCCGCTGCTCTTCCCTCTCATCTTTTATCTTCTCGAAATATGTTTATAGATTGTTTATAGTCTACCTATTGTACCTGCTCTTAATACATGTGCTTAGGCCAAGAATTTTTTTTATATTTTAGGACGGAGGTAGTATCATTTTCGTTGATGCTTACCTTTGAAGATGATTTTCGTTGATGCTTACCTTTGAAGATGCAAATCTGATGAGGACATCTCTTCCTCTGCTACGCCCATGCAACTTGGTTTCATAGTTTGACAAGATGAACCAATGATCTGTTTGGTTAATCCCTCCTTCAAGGGAATTGAGGAGATTTAGAAGAAATTAAGGGAATAGGTGTAGAAGTAAATCACCCCCGAACCATTTTTCATGGAGATTAACCGAATGATCCCTGTATTCAATCCCACCGCTAAGATGCTCAGTTGACTCCTTATAGATGGTTTTGGTTTCACTTGAGACTTCTAACAACTCCATTCCAAATTTTAGTTGTATCTGCTATTCAAATTTTAATGGCAGAACTAACAGAGGCAGCTATAATATGGGTAGGGTTGGAGGTAGGGTAGGGTTGGAGGTAGTATATGAGCTACTTATGTTCTTTTAAATGTGGTATTTCTTTGCTGATTTTTTCGGCAGAGCCTTGGCTTGTCGTATCTGTCTGAATTTTATATTTTCGGATGTGAAAAGAAGTATAAATATCCTCATATACCAAACATTCGCTAATTAATATTGCGTCTTCGAAATTGTAACCTTCCCATGGCATATAAGTTGCTAATACGTTTTTTTTCCTAAAGTAGACCCCTTCGCTAAAATTTGTCCTTTTTTAATGGATTTACCCCGTGTAACCTAAGGTTTTTGGTGTATACTGGTATTTTTGTTAGAGCGCCGCTAGGTAACTGAAGGAATATACTTATAGTCTTCCCACTACTTGATAAAAAGGATCTTGTGACTATTAGTAGAAATGATCTTTCCCTTGCAGTCGACTATGCAAAATAAGTACATTTTTCAGTCAAGTCAACTTTAAGCCGTAGGTCTTGCAATTGAGTCATATTCGGCTGATCCATGTCTCTCACGCATTGTAGCTAATAAATAGACAACCGTTGTCGCGTTTAGTGTTTAGTTTTTTTTATTAGCTTGCTACTTTGTAGTTTTGCCTCTAGATTGGTTTGTGAAATCGAGATTGTGTATTTAATTGCTTTGCAATAACAATAAGGCTCCCATCGGATGGCCTAATCAGCCAAAGAAAAAGCCAAATTTTAAATTTTCAAACTTAATTTTGAGATATTTTTAACGTAGTTTCTTTTTCAGCATTGGCTTTTAAGTTATTAAGAACATATATATAAAAGTTTTACTATTAATTTTTATTCCCTAATAAGTTGTTTTGACTTATTAGGGAAAAAGCCAAACGATGAGGCCGTAAGACTTCGTCGATTATGCGGAAATGTGGTTGATAGTGGCATGATGTCGGACACATCTTTTCGAAGGAAATGATCAGTTGATAGGAAAGCCTCAAAATGTTCACTCCGATTCAATCGAACCTAAGATCCAGTTATTGACATCAATTTCCATGTTTAATGTTGTTGGGTTGTATTAACATTGGTAACGATTGCCCTTCATGAACCTCTTTTTTCCTATAAATAATGTTACAGTAAAGTGCATCGTTGGTGTCTAAACTTACCCGCCTTTGTCATCTAGGTTCCTAAACTTTTAAAATACATTTTCAGGTTTCGAACTTGTTAAGTGTATCATTCCTATTCCAAATTACCATGACCCTCCCCCCCCGGGACCGGGATCCTACATATGGCTCTTAACATGCCATGCCACATGAACAATAAAAGTGATATACCACATGTATATTCCGATCCTTAAATTTTGAGTAAATTTCATAAAACTACATTTACTTTGCATAATCTATCACAAAACTACAGATTTAAGAACTTGTTTCACAAAACTACGGATTTAGTGTCTTCGTTTATCACAAAACTACAAGTACTTTGCACAATATATCACAAAACTACATATTTAAGAACTTGTTTCACACAACTACGGATTTAGTGTCTTCCTTTGTCACAAAACTACAGGTTTAGTGTTTTCTTTATCATAAAACTACAAGTTTTACCATTGTTAAAATATGCAGTTTTGTGATAAATGAAGACACTAAATGTATAGTTCTATGATAAACGAATATACCAAATGTGTAGTTCTGTGATAAATGAATACACTAAATCTATAGTTTTATGAAACAAGTACTTAAATATGTAGTTTTGTGATAGATTGTAAGTATCTATAGTTTTGTGATAAACAGAGACAAAAAATCTGTAGTTCTATAAAACAAGCTCTTAAATCTGTAGTTTTGTGATAAATTATGTAAAATACCTGTAGTTTTGTGAAATTTACTCTTAAATTTTCTTTTTTCTTTTTTTCCTTTTCTTCTTACCTTTTTGTTGGAGGAGCAGTCCTCCAATAGCGGGGAAGTGCAAACCCCTCCCCTAGTGAAGATTCGACTAAGGGAAGTGCGGTTACCTGATGAAATCAACCAAAAATTATCCCAAGACACAAGGAACATGCAAATTATACGAGTTTAGGCCACCCGTAGATGTAACACCCTACTTTTGTGTGGTTTTCTTTTTCTCGATGTTACTTGGATCAGGAAAAGTACAAGGTTGGTAACTCGAGTCCCCTGCCCTGCCATGTGGACATTTTCAATCACTACTTAATCAATGTTTTTTTTCTATTTAACGAGAATATAACCTTGGCTTCCCGGAAAAAGGGTACCCTGGTTCCTATTTCACTAACACTTTTCCATCTCTTTTTTTTTCTCACGAACAAGAAAGAGCTCTTTTTTTTTCTCACGAACAAGAAAGAGGAATAGAAGAAAATTGGAGAAAAAGAGATAAAGAAAATGAGTCAGTGCCACCACGTAAGATCTCAAAAGGGGTAATTTAAGATTGGAATTACACAAAGTTAGGAAACCTAAAAATAGATGAAGTTTAGGGACCGGTAGGACACTTTACTCAATAATGTAGTAAGAACTTCAGATCATAAGCAAATAAGCTAACGCGGCTAAGGAATGCGACACTAGCAGCTTGCAATATTTCCGATACGCATTAGACAAATACAACGCGTGAATCCTAACGTGTTCAGGCAGTAATATTTATAATCTGAATTATACATGGAGAAATAATGCACGTCTTACCTGTTGTAGAACCAGAATGTTCCGATACCAATTTTCCAAGAGAGATAAGAGGGAAGAAATGGCATGAACGCCAGTAATCTTAATGCAGATCTAAGCATTTTCACATGCTACAGTTTGTTACAAAAATTACTTGTCCATATTTAAGTACAAACCCTGTCAAATAACTCGTCTAGCTATAGAGAGAACCGCAATAATCTGGTGAGACGAGCCTCAACATATTGGTACCAACAAGTATAAAAATATCAAAGCACATAATTATTTCAAGCAAGTAGCCCTGGGTTCAACCAATCTCTGCAAAAATAAAGTGTGGAATAATGTAAGCAAACCAGAGAATAGAAAGGAAAACATTTAATAAATAAACTAGCCTAGATCCCATGCGTTGCAACGGAAAACAAATTGAGTTTCTAGCTTATTAAATCAATTAACAAGAACTTATTTAGTTCAAGTAATACTATGATTTTTCTTATTGAACAAGTAGGTGATTTTGAAATTTAGGGGAGACGATAATGAAATAGGGGAATAATATAGATTGTGGGGCCCATATGTCAGTGGTAAGGGGTATGGGAATGGATATCACCACTAGTAACACTTTTTATAGATATTGTAATATCATGGTCTACGATACACGGATACGGCCATCTTAGTCGCGTATTTGTGTCGGACACGCGAATGGACACGGATACGTGTCTGACACGCCCGGATACGTGTCAAGTACGTATCAGGCATTTCCATGACTTTCAGATAAATAAATTAATTCTGGATATGTCTTCGATACGATCTTGACACTTGCCCGATACGTTCGAACCCTCAAACCGCGTGGGGCCGTGTGGGGTATCGACCCAGCCCATCTGGTTTGTCGCCTCCATCTGTTCCCGACGCGCCTCACGCGAGTCACGAGCTCCAGCGCTGTCATCATTGGCTCACGGCCAGGTAGCTTTGAATTGTCTGATGGTGCAGCAACATGAAAACTTGCACTTTTTTTTTGGTAAAAACTTGCACTTATTTATAATCTATGTTTTCCCTCTGTTGTTTGTAACTTTAGTGGTTGATGCTACTACAAATCTACAATTACAAGCATGATGTATCAATTTACTAGTCTTTTAGTTATATACGCTTATTTCTTCTTAAATATTATTGACAGCTAGAAGCAATATAAGTCTAACCACTCCAAAAACTTTACTTACCAGAGAATTAGAGAAGATTCGCTACATTAGAATCACCAATCAGCTATATCAATACTATTTTTCAGTTTATTAATTTTCTGTATTCTTTATTTTTCATATATATTAACGTATCCCCGTATCCTCATTTTTTAGAAAATGCCGTATCCCCGTGTCGCCGTATCGCGTATACGTGTCCGTATCCCCGTATCTGGGTAACATAGATCATGGTATGTGTTTAAGGTGTTGAGTTTTCAACTTACTTGCTAATATCATCGAGGTGGTCATCGAAATCAACAACTTGCTGCCATTTCTTCGTTGTAACATGATCGGCTAAGACCATATTGGTTGATGGTTCTTTTAAAGTCAGCTGACTACTTCCATCTGATCCAGCCTGACGCCAGCTTTTTGATGAATCCCTAGTGTATAGCTGCAAGTTCAATTAAAGCATGTTATGCAATCTAAACGCCCCAAAATGCAATTTTACCATGAAAGATCTAATATTGTCAGAGCTGTGTATGACAAGATGATATGTATAACAAGTTTCAGGAAAGATCTAAGGACAACAAGTTTCATTCTTTCAATAGCACATAACACAAGATGCTATATGTATGATAATACTGTGGTAACAGTGTCTTTCATCTTTAAAGCTCCATGTGTTGTCTTATTGATTATGAGACTCATAAATAGTCATTCTGCAAATCACACATAATGGCTTGCTTATCTTGTTTGATCTACTCTAATGTTCTGATAAGGGCCACCACTGTGCCCTCGCTGTAATCTCCCTTGTTCGAGACTCTGTGTTGTTTTTGTGCTGTAGCACATTTTAAGCAAACTGAACTAAATTTCAATTTATACATTGGCATAAATAATTTTAATCCATTTTCTCTATTCTATCCAAGGTTACACAATCAACAAGTTTACTTTTACCATAGTTCCAATAACAATGTCAGTGCTTGGTAAGCACGACAAAAAGGATCAAATATTTTGCAAATGTGACCAGACATATCGTATTAGTTAAGACAATATGTCTATGCTATATAAAGTGGTACGGGAAAAATGATGACATGATCAGCCCGTGAACTATGGGATTGGCCGAGTCTACCTGCCTGTAAATTCAAAACCATCTAAATGAACCTCCTCCTCTCCTCTATCTGTCTAAAGCTTGAGAACTCCATTGCTGAGATAAGTACTAAATATGGCCTGCCAATTAAAAGTTCAGTGTTGGATGGCTGGACAAGGCCCTGGACCTCATCGCCTGGATGCCATGGTGTGGAACAAGGGCCAGGAGGGTGTGCCCTGAACGAAGAGAGGAAAGGAACAAGGGCCTGGATGCCATGGACTATTTTCTTTCTTGATCTCCAATTAACATGTGTCATAACAAACCAAACCAGTGAGTTGAAAATAACAAGGACTAATAGAAAATAGATCATATGCTATTCTACTTCTCCTGGGGAAGTCTTGATTCTTATCTGAACTTGGCTTGGCATCTCGATACTCTGTGCTGGATGCGGTGGCCGCACTGGACATCGAGGCCAGCAAGGCCGCCTTGCGCTTATGCCGATGGTACAGTCCTACCGTATCATCCTCCAACAATGACCGTGCTTTTCCAGTTAGGTGTATTGTAGATGCTACCTCGAATTTGCCCCACAAAATTTATTGGATGAGCAAAAGCTATCATTTTTTCAGTGGTCTTTATCAAATATTTTAGAGAAACAGATTGTGTTTGTCGAATGGTTGAACCAGATGATTTTCTGTACTGCAAGATGGTCCTTTGTATGTTCCGTCACTTCTGTTGTGATCAGTTTCTCTGATGTTCTCGACCAATATCCTTTCATAACATTGCCTTGTTTTCAGAGTGGATTTGTTTGTCTTACTTTTTGCAGATATCACTGTGCAAACTAATGTTTGGCAGTTGAATTTTCTCAAAAGATCAAGAGGATTTTCATGATTTATTCAAATTAAATGCTACTTTTGTTGCATAAGCTGATTTTCCAAGGGATGTGTTCTACTATGATGCAGGTGGAGTGCCTGACATACTGCTCCCTCCAAGCCAGCCAAATCCTGTCCTTAATCTTTTATTGTAATGAGCTACGAGGTAGTCAAGCTGGATTCAACTAGGTTCAATTTGAAAATAGTCAATTGATCTAAGCTGCGCCATGCAATAGTCCAATATATAAAGTAACAAGGGGAGCTTTCCAGGTTTAAAATTCTTTTAGACCTCTACTAATCTAAACAACACAAACTTACAAAGAATTTAAGTATTTAACTTTAACAATGAGCTCTAGAACAAAACCGTGTAGATAGTGAATGTTTGCGTCAATTTGACAATTGACAACTTTTAATTATTAACACATAGATGTATAAAGATTACCACACAACAAACTAAGTTCTCTGCTTGGAGTGAACAAAGATTGGGACGATTACCTGAACGACTGGCTCGCGACTCTTCCCCTTGACTGCCTCCTCCAGCTTCTTGTTATCAAGCTAATTCAATTAATCAAATACAGAAGAAAACTAGTCAGCAGTTGAGCAGCAGGCGAGAGATCTCCGACCCAAACCGCGCCCAGATCGGGGAGGCGGCAACGCACTGACCAGGAGTACGGCGGCGCGGGGGAAGTTGCGGAAGACGTGGTCCCCGACGCGCTTGGCGACGGGCGGGAGGTCGGCGTCGTCGCGGCGCGCGTTGGCGTGGTAGTAGCCGACGACCGCGAGGCCCTGCGCGGCGAAGTGGTCCTCGACGAGCGTGAGCGCGAGCTCGAGGGTGGGGAGCAGCGGGAGGTGGTGCGGGTGGTGGGAGAGCGGCACGGCGTCGGCGATGGAGACGACGGCGGCGGGGGAGGCGGCCCCGTCGAGGAGGCGGCCGACGAGGAGGCCGTTGACGGCGGCGGCGGGGTGCTTGAGGGCGTGCAGCGCGAGCTTGACGTACGCCACCTGCGCCACCTCGTACTTGCACTCCGCTCCCATCGCGATCCGCTCCTACGGCGACTGCCGCTTCCGCTACCGCCGCCGCGCCTGCTTCCGATCGGAGAAGAGAGGAAGAGGAAGGCTGCTCTGCTCCTTGGACTGTTCGCTCCAAAGCGTGTGAGATCTGATTTGGGGTTCGGGAGGATCGGGGTATCTGATCGGTCTTGGATTGGAAGGTTGTGTAGGTTGCTTCTGGCCGTCCGATTGGAGATCGTGGTCACGTTAATATATATACAGTACCTCGCTGTGTTAAGGGGTAGATTTTTTTTTCTTTTTCAAAAACAGACTACTTACTCCGTTTACTTAAAAATAATATACTACATATAACTACTACTAATAATAATAACTACTTAAAAATATTAGTATTTTTTTTGTTTGTCACATCTGTCTTTCGTCCATCAACCAAGTCGTCCGATTCACAGTCCATAGTTCAGATCTGTGGTAAAATATTGTTCGTAACTGCATTTTTCCAAAAGGAAAAGGCTATACGTACTAACTTTTTCTTACTAAATTCTTACTAACACTGATGTGTCATGTTATGAGTACATCTAGATTTGTTTTAACTTTCATCTACTTAAATCAAACGGTTGAGATGATTGTTAGTAAAAGTTTAGTAAGAAAAATTTAGTACGTGTAGCATTGCTCTTTCCAAAAAGAAGTCCATCTTATGCCAAACCACGCCTAACAAGTCATTCAATTTTTATCTGCAACCATCCTATTATGTTTAAAAATACCTAAAATCTAATCAGAGAAACCTCTCACGATAGCATTGTCGCTTGACACACTGCTCCATGTTAACTAATCAGTGAGGCCTACTGAGTCATTACTCTATTGAAAATATACTACTAGCCCATCAAGCAAATAGGAACCACGTATGCTTCAAATAAAAATTTCTTTTAAACTACTTATCCGATCTACTTATCCGATCTATGATCCGATTATACGATCCGATTACACCATTATGTTCGTAAACAATTAAATCTTTATAACAAGATCTTACATGATTATATTTTGATAAAAAAATTACAAATTACTTTTTAATATATCTAAATTATTTTTAGATTTCACTAAATTACTTATTAGACGTATCAATAAAGTCTAAAAGTAATTTACATATATTATAAAAGTAACTTAAAACAAAAGGTACAACATTAGAAGTAAATTTGTTGTAGGGATAAAAATATGACTCTATCTAGAAATTAAATTTAATCAGTACATATCAGCATAAGTATGTTTAATAATTTTTAAAAGTAACTTCAATGTTAATTGGATGTAATTTTTGCATGGTTCAGAAGTAACTTTATATAAATCTGTTTTATGCACATGTTTTTTTTCCCTTTCACTTTTGTTTTTTCATGTAGTATGAGAAAAGAAGATAAAACCTTTGATGAATTTAAAGTCCATAAATTATAGAATTGACTAAACACTATAATAAAAAAATAATCGACTTAGAGCATTATGAATATATAAGAAGTAATTTAGTCAAATCTAAAAGTAATATATATATATATATATGATAAAAGTAACTTACGTATATAATAAAAGTAATTTACTAATATAAATATTTTTTTCATCGTAGTATAATCATGTAAGATCTTGTTTCAAAGATTTAATTGCAATGAATATAATGGTGTAATCGGATGATAGATCGAATAATTAATTTGAAAGAAAACTCTGTAAGAAGGGGAAAAAATGCATGCATGTGTACTGACTCCTCCACAGCGCACGGAAGGAGTACGGTTCTATTTATGCTCGCTTCCCCTCTTCCCCCGCAAAGTCTATTTTCCCTCCATACATCTCCTCTCTCCCTCTCTCCGACAAGTGGGACCCTCGGCTGCACCTGTCATCCCTAACCTCCAGCCACCCGCCGGCAACCGCCATTGCCGCCCACTCCGCCGCCAAATCCGTGCCTTCCACCCCACGCCCTCGCTTCTACTCGCTGCCCACTACTCCACCTCTTCCTCCACTTTTCCCCAAATTTCGCCACTGGATGGAGCTCTCCCGCTGCCACGTCGCCACCCCACGTTGCCGGCCGATTCTGCCCACCACGGCCATGATCTCCAACCTCGCCGAGCTATAAAAACCCTTCCCATAGCCTCCTCCCTCTTTTCCCCTCTTTTCCCCGAGCTCCCGCGCCCCGCCCGCTCACCCCCGCGCTACTCCCTCTCGCCGCCGCTTGCCGACATGCTCCGGTCGCACGCCACTGCCGCTAGAGCCACCGCCTGAAAGCCGCTCCCACTCTGCCACAAGGGCAAGCTCGGCCCCCACTTCTCATCCACAAATCGCCACCCAAACCCCGTCCTCTCCACGTGAGGTGATGTAACGACCCGCGTCTCCCAGGTCGGGCCCGCTTACATCTGGCAGCTTTCATAGGTCATAGACTGCCCTCACAGACCAACACAAGTCTTTTCTTCACACTTTGTCCTTACTCGTGCGCACCCGGGAAGAATTTCCCGGTCGGTCACCCATCCCAAATTGCTCCAGGCCAAGCACGCTTAACCCTGGAGTTCTTTGGAAATCGGCTTCGAGAAAAGAAGTTGCAATTTGTTGATATGAGTATTCTATTAATCCTATTAAGCATTAGGCCGGGATGTTACACCCTCACACCCTTAAGAGAGATCGACGCCCCCATCTTGGCCACGTCCGTGTGTCCAGTGCCAGGAACGTCCCCTCTTGGCCACGTCCGTGTGTCCAGTGGCAGCGCACGTGCCATGCTGTGTGACCACTCTGGGTCCACACCAGCCATGCGCACCATGCCTGCGCAACTACGACATACGCGCCCGTGAGGCGTCGATCAACCCCAGGCCAGGAACGTCCCCTCTTGGCCACGTCCGTGTGTCCAGTGCCAGCGCATGTGCCATGCTGTGTGACCACTCCGGGTCCACACCAGCCATGCGCACCATGCCTGCGCAACCGGCGTCGATCAACCCCAGGCCAGGAACGTCCCCTCTTGGCCACGTCCGTGTGTCCAGTGCCAGCGCATGTGCCATGCTGTGTGACCACTCCGGGTCCACACCAGCCATGCGCACCATGCCTGCGTAACCGGCGTCGATCAACCCCAGGCCAGGAACGTCCCCTCTTGGCCACGTCCGTGTGTCCAGTGCCAGCGCATGTGCCATGCTGTGTAACCACTCCGGGTCCACACCAGCCATGCGCACCATACCTGCGCAACCGTGAAACCGCGAGAGTCGACTCTGATACCATTTTGTAACGACCCGTCTCTTCCAGGCTAGGCCCGCAGGCCGCTGATACCATTTTGTAACGACCCGTCTCTTCCAGGCTAGGCCCGCAGGCCGGGCCCGCTTACATCTGGCAGCTTTCATAGGTCATAGACTATCCTCACAGACCAACACAAGTCTTTTCTACACACTTTGTCCTCACTCGTGCGCACCCGGGAAATTCCTCACCCCCTTAAGAGAGATCGACGCCCCCGTCAATCAACCCCAGGCCAGGAACGTCCCCTCTTGGCCACGCCCGTGTGTCCAGTGCCAGTGCATGTGCCATGCCATGTGACCACTCCGGGTCCACACCAGCCATGCGCACCTGTGAAACCGCGAGAGTCGGCTCTGATACCAGTCGGCTCTGATACCATTTTGTAACGGTACATCTCTCTTTCTAGACACTTTGTCCTCACTCATGCACACCCAGGAAGAATTTCCGGGTCGGTCACCCATCCCAAATTGCTCCAGGCCAAGCACGCTTAACCTTGGAGTTCTTTGGAAATCGGCTTCCGGAAAAGAAGTTGCAACTTGTTGATATGAGTATTCTATTAATCCTATTAAGCCCTAGGCCGGGATGTTACAGGTGAGCTCCACCATCTCTCCCTTCACCTCGCACCCTCCTAACCCCATCCCCTCCACGTGAGGTGAGCTCCACCATCTCCCCTTCTCCGGCCAGCGATTCCCACCGTCTCGATCCACTTCTCACCATCTCGAGCCACCTCTTCCCCAGGTTGTGGCCGAGCCCGTCTGCCTCTTCCCGAGCGGTGCCCATCGCTGGAGCACCGCCGCCTCCCTCCCCGTTGTTGTCTCGCCGCCGTGCCCTTTGGCGAGCACCCCTCTCCCTTCCCTGCCGCGTCCCGTGTGCATCGCCGCATCCTGCACCGCTACCGCTCACCGCCGGTGGCCTTCAGGCCCGACGCATCGCCCCTGTGCTGCCGCATGCTTGGCCGGCCGGTGAGCAACCTCCCTCTCACCTCGACCGTCCGATCTGCCCCGGCACGGATCTGGGCCGTCCGTGCCTCCGCCGACGTGATCGTCATGTTGGTGCCGCGTTGGCGCCACGTATGCAACACGTGGTGCACCAGCCCGTGCCTCCGTGGACTCGGTCCATGGTAGACCGAAGCCTTTGAGTCACCGACAGGTGGGTTCCATTTGCCGGTGCCACCTATCCGCTCGGCTGACGTCATAACATATTAATTGCGCAATAAATCAAGTAATAATTCTAGAAACTCTTTTAAATGGCTCAAAACTTCTAAAATTCATAACTAATTCATACGAACTCCAAATTGAGCCATTCAACTTGCAAAATTCATCTAAAACTGAGCTCTACGTGTTTGTTTACTTTTCATATACTGTTTACTTGGTTTTTATTAAAGTTTTTCCTCATTTTGCGAGCTAGCATGTAGATTTCGTCGTTTTGGAAGATTGCGGTCGCGAGGAAAGAGTTCGGAAGATTGTTTGAAGAAGCAAGGCAAGTCATACATTCTCCTTTAGCATATTGAGCCTACTTTATAAATGTTTTATTGTTTGCAAATAAAATTGCATGTCTTGCTAATTACATGGGATTATGAGATTACCTATCTGCTCGCTTGTGCCATGTTTACTTGACATCCGTCCTTTGTTAAACCTGGGTGATAATTTGACTAGCTTGTACTACTTATGTTGACCTAGCTAGAATTATTTATGCTTAGCCATGCTTATTTACCACTAGCTCACATAATGGGATAATTACATTATTAGACACTTAGTATCATGACGAGCTGCGTGCTCGAGACATCCGGCCTTGTTTCATTGGTCGTAATTATCCAATTAAACTGCGACTGAACGGTGGGATGTGGGTGCATGGTTTTGCTAGTCGCACCCATGGCAATTAAGGACTGGTTCGTGGGAACCCTGAAAGACTTGCATCGCTTATCATAAGTGGGAATGGGTAACTTCTTGACTTGTAGTATAGCTCAACCCTTTCCTAGGC